AGGTCCATGTAGTTGTCTCGGCATCGACCAGGAAGTTGCTGTGCTCGTTGTAGCCGATGCGCGCCCTGGTCTCGTCCAGCACTATGGTTTTGAGTGCTGCCAGGAGGGCGCTGCTGCCTCTGATGGCGGCTCCCCAGTGCGCTGCCTTCTTGTCGCGCCACTCGGTGACTGGGGTCTTGGTCATGCGTCCCCATATGCGGATGGCCAAGGGCAGGAGGCCGATGTCTCGCTCGTTAGCGATCACACGCTTGTCACCCTTCGGGAGGAACGCGAACCTATTGTGTAGTAGCTGGCGTGGCCAGGCCAGGCCCCTCTCCGCCATGTTCAGTATGGCCACGAAGTAGTCTTGCCCCTGCTCGGAGAGCGCGAGGATGTGATTCGGCTTCCACTGGTCGGAGCCCATGCCCGTCCTCTTCGGGAATGTCTTCAGCGCTGCTACGAGTCCCTCTCTGTCGCGATGCGGCCTCTCTGCCAGCTCCTCGGAGGCACGGGTCCGAAGCTCGCCGAAGGCAGCACGTATCGCTGGTATCCGGTGGGAGTGGGACGTCCACCTCTCCTTCCAGCAGGCCGCTCTGATCTCGGTGGTGCACTGGACCGTGTCGCTCACCTCCATCGTCTTGGGGTCCACGCAGGTCTCGTCCAGCGCCCTGTACTCGTTCTTCTTCAGGTAGCGGTGGCCACCCTTCATGGAGCCCTGCGCATTCAGCTTCGCCCACTTGCCGATCTCGCTCCTCGTCTGCTGCCATGCCAGGCAGGCACGTCGTAGGGCTCGCGCTTGAACCTGCAAGGCGAAATTCTGCCACGGGCCGTAGTCTGTACGGTGACGGAGGAGCGCGCCTTGACGAAGCACACTGGCGTCGTCGCGGTAGACTCACCACTCGCCACTGTGGTCGCGTTCGTGCCTTAAGGTATTGGTCTTTGTTTTTCTTGGTGCTGGCAAAGGTCCTCGATGAGGCTCTTCGCGGTGGATTTGGCATCTCGTGGATATCGCGTGTGTCGGGACCGCCCAAGTGCAATGAGTTGTTCCTGCGCACGCGCATGCAGGCTCTGCCACTTGTTGTTCGCGCGGTCGGCGCTGACGTTACCGAAGTTGGCATCTGGAGATTGTCGCACCGCTTTGCGCCGTTGGTACTTCAGAGACATGCCACGCCTAGATCTTTGTCGGGGGCTCTACGTTGCACAGGTCCGCCAGGTGCGCCTCTGCAGCCATCGCCCACACCGCGTAGTGCTTTGCCAGCGCCTCGCTCACGTGGGGCGCCTCGCGGTAGGCCTCGCTCTGCTGCGCCTCGCTGGTGTTGGCCGTCAGGAAGGCCTCGGTGTTCATCATCAGCTTCTCCTGGGCGTCGTACATTTAGGAGCTCCATTCGGCGTCGTCGGATCGCATTTGGCGCTCGGCGGTGTAGTGGTCGTCCAGCAGATGGCCGCTCGCTCTCGGTGTCGAGGAGGCCGCCGTGCTGGAGGATGCCTGTCGCGTCCCTGGCTTCATTGAGTTTCGCACGCTGCTCGCGATCTCTCTGGCGCCTTCTGGTGCCCTTGGGTGCGCGTACCTCTCCTCCTGGGATGCCCGGTGGCACTGGGAGCACTGGGGCCCTGATGGGGGACAGAGGCGGGCCTCGAGGTGATCCGAACATCGAGGCCGATGCGTGGCCCCCAAGGCAACGTCTGGACAGGCGAGACCTGGTGCACAAGGGGGCGGAAGCCGCCAGGCACACTCACTCGGCATCGCTCGGACGTGTGCATTTTTCCTTCGGCGAGGACCATCGAGGAGCATCCTTGATCATTTGGCGAAAAAACCTCGCACGAAATCGAAAATAGCACAGGGAATGGACGTCCGAGCGATGGCCAGCTCACGAAATCAGTCCCGCGGCCCTTGCCAGAGGCGCAGGCTACCACCGCGCCCTCGGGGGTGATGCCGTCGCCCCGCAGCGCCTGCCACCAGCCCGAGCGCGACATGTCGCTCGGAGTCGCGTGGAAGCCGCCGACCACTAGCTCACCACCCACCAAACCACCCCAACCCAACCCGAAGGCTCAGATTTACCCTCGATTTCCAGTGGGGGGGTGTCGGGAAACATCGAAAAAACACATGTGCAACCCTTACCCCCCCCAACCCGAAATTCGGGTCTTCGGGTTGGGTTGGGGTGGTCTGGTAGGTAGTCAGTAGCCCAGGCACTCCCAGCGACTTGATGATGGCGCTGATCGTGGTCAACTTCTGCGCGCTAACTCCTGTCAGGCCGACGGAACAGTCGAGGCAGCACACGATAAATTCGAACGTCGCCCCCCTGGGAACGCCATGGCACCACGGAGATGTCCTGGGGCGAGTCGTGGTAGATACTCTTGGTCTTGGGCCCTTAGATGTGCGCGCTGGTGGCGTAGGCGGCGCGTCGAAGCCGGCGCGCGCCCACCGCTCGTGCCTTTCGCCGGTGGCCCAGATGCCGTAGCAGCCGTCCGAGTGCCTTCCGACCTCCACCCAAAATATCGAAGTCGCAGTTCTTCTCTCTGGCAACTCATTTCTCCTAAGTGATGTTCTGCCAACTCCATGAGGTCGAACGGCGCGTTCTCTACGTATTGATTTGCCTTGTCTCCGTTGTGTGTCACGTTCCCGAAGAAGACCGAGACATAGCGACGCTTACCGAAAGGGACCCGTCCTGCGTGAGGTACTGGCTGCATTGCTGCAGCTGATGGGCAGAGGCGAGCGCAGCGACCCGCCCGACGCGCCCACTGGCGCACCAGCAGCGGAGGCAGTGGGCTTGGAGGCCTTGACTGCGTCCGCTGCCGCTGCGCGCGCCTAGATGGCCGCGGTCTTCTGGGTGTACTCGTCGACGTTCTCCGGGTCGGAGAAGTCCAGGCCGCTTGCTCCTTGCTGCTGCTGCTGCTCGCCTGCGGACTCTGGTGCTGCTGGTGCTCCTGCTGCAACTCCAGCTGCCCCATCAGCCCTGCGCCTCTCAGCCGACGTGGCCTTCTCGCGGAGCTCGCGGAGGGTCTTGGCGGCCTCCTGCGTTTGCTGGCCGATGTGTCCGCCGCATTCTTGTACACCTGCTGCGCCTGCTTCGCGCGGCCGAGCGCGCTCTCGCATGCCTGCTTCTGTTCTGGCGCGAGGAGTTCAACGTCTTCAGCCGCCAGCTAGGGGAACTGGAAGGGCGCTTCCTGCTTGTCCTCCTCGGGCTCGGTGGAGCCCGCGCCCATGGACGCGGTGGTGAGGTCGGTGAGGCGGTTGACCTCCGCCTGGACCTCCGCGCAGGCTCGAACATTCTCCTCCAGCTTAACCAGGAGCTCCTTCCTATGCCTCGCGTTGGCCACCAGCTGCGTCTTGAGCTTCTCCTGCTGTGTGTACATCCTTCGCAGGCTGGCCGCCTGCATCTCCAAAAGAACTTCACGAGCTTCTTCGGGAGGTGGCCGATCTGCCTCAGCGAGGGCGGGGCAGACCAGCTCCAGCGCCTTGACTACAGCCTCGTCCTTGTCGGCGTTGGCGGCCTTGTACTTGGGCAGGAGCTGCGCATAGAGCTGGTCGGGGGCGACGCTGTGGCTATGCTGGCCGTCCTGCAGAGCGAAGGTTGCCTCCTTGCGGCCAGCCTGCTGCTTGGGCCGAGGCACTCCACAGGTCTGACAGGATTCCCAACCTGGGTTGCCTGCTCTGGAACAATACACCCAAGAACCAGGACAGCTGCGGCAGACAAAATACGCTTGACGACGTTTGCCATGGGTCGATGACGGCCTCGGTCCATCTCTACTCTTGGCTCGCGCACTGCCGCTCCGACCCATCCACTTGAACTGTCGGACACTCGACTTTCGCCGCCTGAAGGGCGCCCCTCAGGCCGCGGGAGCGCGTAGCAGACCGCTGGATCTGCCCACGCTCGGTACGCGCGAGTGCCGTGCGAGCGGGGACCTCCCAAGGAGAGAAGGAGGAGGAGGAGGAGGAGGAGAAGATGAGGAAATTGATCATGATGATGATGCTGATGCTGATGATGATGATGATGATGATGATGATGATGATGATGATGATGAGGATGAGGATGAGGATGAGGATGAGGATGAGGATGAGGATGAGGAGGATGAGGATGAGGAGGATAAGGAGGAGGAGGAGGAGGAGGAGGAGGAGGCAGAGGAGGAGGAGGCGGAGGAGGAGGAGGAGGAGGTGAAGGAGGAGGAGGAGGAGGAGGAGGACCCCCTCCCCCTCATACTTATGGTGGTGGTTTTGGTGGAAAACATGCCCACCGTTCGGGCTCCTGGAGCTCCTGGCGCGGCCCCCGGAGGTCCCGCTTCCCCGGGGGCACGGCAGATTCGCGTCGTGTCGACCGGCGGCGACCCCGCCGCCGGCGTTCAACATCGAACGCCGCCGGCGACAAAGAATCGGTCGACGTCGAATGATCTGACGTTTCGTAAACGGCCGATTGCTCAAGGTTGAACGATCCCCGCGGTGCCAGGAACCCACGCTTGGGGTCGACACGACACGAACCCGCGGTAGTCCTTTTCTGCGGCCCGGTCCCGTTTCTGATGGTCCTGCAGGTCCCGACAGCGGGCCACAGCGCTCGAAGTGGAGGAGAAGTGACGGGATTGAAAGGCACATCGTCAGAGATCTGAGTCTCGGGCCGATCGACATGGGTACGGAAAGACTGGGTACGATGCCCGACCGCAGGTCCTGTTCATTTTGCACAGGGCTCGCTGTTCGCGCCGCCGCGGACGCAATTCTTTGGAGACACAAGGCCGCCTGCTCAACATCGGCCGCGGTCGGTTTTGGACAGCATTTGTTGTTGGGCATTGTGCGCATTTTTTCCGTATTCGGGGTTTCTTCCTAAGCGTGGGGGGGTACCACCCCGACGGGCCTCAACCTCGGCTCGTCGTCGCGCCGTGACGGGGCTCGGAGCGCCTTCGGCGCCCATTGGCTGTCCGCAATGGGGGTCGATGTGGGGCTGTCGGCGGGGGTGACGCCCCCCCCCGACGCTTATCAAGAAATTCGGAGTTCCCATGCCGGGCGTCCAACGAGTTTCCCATCAGGGCCCGCTTGTTCGCATGCCAGCGCCGCCGAGCCCCCTGCCCCCCGCGCGGGGGGGGGGCGGCGAGTCGCCCAGGCGGCGCCAGAGAAAGGGCGGGCTGCTCTGACGCCGCCCGTGCCCCGTCGTCCCGCCCTGCTGCCCTCCTGCACTCGCCTGCCGAGGAGGTGGAGGAGGAGGAGGAGGAGGAGGAGGAGGAGGTGAGGAGGAGGAGGAGGAGGAGGAGGGAGGAGGGAGGAGGGAGGAGGGAGGAGGGAAGAGGGAGGAGGGAGGAGGGAGGAGGGAGGAGGAGGAGGGAGGAGGAGGAGGAGGAGGTGGAGGAGGAGGACCAGTGTAAACCCAAGAGGCGTCAACGATGTTGGAATCAACTCTCACTCCAAGCTCCCTCTTCATTGGCTCTTACAGCGGTTCATTTCCATTGAAGGAACTGCTTCGTTGGGAGACAACCGTTTGAAGACCCTGGAGCATGCCAAAACAATGTTCTCGGGATTCCAACGCCACGGATCAACCTGACTGTTGCGTTCTGGCAGTCATGAATTGTGCCAGAGCGCATTTTCTGGGCTTCAACACAGCAGATCAACATAATTGTTGCACCCGCATGATCCTGAACCGTTTCAAAGCATCAGTTCTTGCACGGTGATGATGGGGACCCGTGGAACTCTTGCATTTCTCAATGAAAAAGCAAATCTGAACCGGGCTAAAGCGAGAACCACATTTGAAAAGGAACCGCCCTCAATCCGTGAAGCTCTTGCACTTTGTTAGAACGAATGTGCGCCGCGCTAAGGCGAGAGCCACATTTTGAAAAGGAACCGCCCTCAATCCGTGAAACTGTTGCAAATTGTAGAATGAATGTGCTCCGCGCGAAGGCGAGAACAACATTTTGAAAACGACCCGCCCTCAATCCGCGAGACTCTTGCAAAGTGTTTCGAAGGAATGTGCGCCGCGCCAAGGCGAGAGCCACATTTTGAAAACCACCCGCCCCCCATCTGTGAAACTGTTGCCAATTAGATGTTTCAGGGTCAGCAATGGCGAGGAAGTCTCAGGTGAAACGCCGGCCCGCTCTAAAAAATAGTTTCGGGGTGCGACAGGGAGAAGTTATCTTCAAGGAAGAGGAATGAAGGAGGAGGTGGAGGAGGACCAGCTCAAATCCAAGAGTCATGAACGATGTTGGGATAATCCCTCCCCCCAAGCTCCCTCTTCATAGGGCCCTACAACGGTTCATTTCCATTGAGGGCAACTGCCTCGTTTGAAGACAACCGTATGAAGACCTTGAAGCTTGCCAAACATTGTTTTTGAGATTCCGACGCCACGGATCAACCTGACTGTTGCGTGTTGACAATCATGAGTCGTGCCAGAAGGCCGGTCTTGTGATTTCCATACAGCAGATCAACATACGTGTTGCACCAGCATGATCCTGAACCGTTTCAAAACATCAATTCTTGCACGGTGGTGATGAGAATCCGTCGAGCTTCTGCTATTTACAATAACGAATCTGCGCCGCGCTACGGCGAGAGCCACATTTTGAAAACGACCCGCCCTCAATCCGTGAAGCTCTTAGAATTTGTGAGAACGAATGTGCGCCACGCTAAGGCGAGAGCCACATTTTGAAAACCACCCACCCCCCATCTGTGAAACTGTTGCAAATTGTTAGAACGAATGCGCGCCGCGCTAAGGCGAGAGCCACATTTTGAAAACGACCGGCTTTCAATCCGTGAAACGCCTGCAAATTTTTAGAACGAATGCGCGCCGCGCTAAGACGAGAGCCACATTTTGAAGCCCCCCCGCCCTCCACCTGTGAAACTGTTGCCAATTTTAAGCTTCAGAGTCATGAGTAGTGCAGATGTCTCAGGCAAAACGCCCGGCCCGCTATAAAAACTGGCCTCGGGGTGCGGCAGGGAGAAGTGATTTACATGGAAAGGGATGTAGGAGACGGAGGAGGAGGAGGAGGAGGAGGAGGAGGAGGATGGAGGAGGAGGATCTGGACGCCCGAGATGGATACCGAAAGAAGGGTACAATGCCCAACAGCAGTTCCTGCTCATTTTGAACAGGCCTCGCTGTCCACGCCGCCGCGGCCTGCGTCCATTCGAGACAGGAGGCCGCCTGCCCAACAGCGGCCGCTGTTGGTTTGGGACAACATTTGTTGTTGGGCATCGTACCCATTTTTTCGGTACCCATGTCGGGCGTCCAAAGAGGAGGAGGGAGGAGGAGGAAGAGGATGAGGAGGAGGACGAGGATGGGAAGGAGGTCAGGCAGACGGCAAGAAACGTGGGGGGGCGAGGGTTGCACGAATGGCCTGGAAGGGACCTTGGACGGACTCTGAACTACAACCGCGGGCCCACTCACTTGGTGTACGAAGGGTGCACCTTTCTTCCTGCGTTTGCTGCCCACCCCTTGTTAGCGAACACCCGAACCCGAAGTGGGGCAGGGCGAAGGAGTCGCGCAAGGGGTCCGGAGGGAAGTTGGTCCTGCAGTCTGTTACTTGTTTTCGGAACTCCTGGGGCCCTCCAGGCGCCCCAGGGCCGCTGGCAGTCGGCTCGGGAGTAGAGACCGGTCCAGTGGGAACAGCCGCGGGATCCAGAGCTGGGCTTCACCATGCCAGTCGCGGGCGGCGAGGAATCGGCCAGAGCGGCGCCCGAAAGGCGAGCGCTAAGTACCACAGGCCACGCTTCATATTCATCCCCGTATTCTCCTCCCCAGATGTCCGATGGATTGATTTTTCAATTCGAGGCCCCAGGGATTTCGATCCTTTTTCAGAGGGGTAATTGTTCGCCCCACGTGAATCAATGATATCTCCATGGCCCGAAACTGCCGCCTGAGGCCGAAATCAGCCCTCGCCTACCCCAACCCGCCTCCACCAAGTTTCCAAAGCTATGCGGGCCGTCGCCAGACTCCCCCTGGAGAACACCTCCTGGAGGCTTGACCTGAGGCTCAAGCTTTGAAGCTCTGGGCGTCGTGTGCCGCATGCGGGTGAAGTTCTCCAAACGGTGCTTGCACTTAGGGCATCCTATTTTCCTTTTCAAGTACTCCAGATTTCGTATTAAAGGGAGGGGGGTCTCATTTCGGGGGGGGTCTCTTCCAGGCTATCTTGGAGGGCCTGGGGGGGTCTGGGGACGATGTCTTGGAGGATTCTCCCACGTGGGAGGTCTGAAATGGCTTGTCTTGGAGTGTCCAGACCCCCTCCCTTTTATTACGAAATCTGGAGTAATGTGGCGGGTCCGCCGAGGATTTTCCACGTCGGCGCCCCGTGCCCGCCCGTGAGGGCCCCGCGCCCTGGGTGGGTCCGCCGAGGTTTCGCCCCGTGCCCGCCTCTTGGGCGCCTCGGGGGCGCCGCGCGCCCTGCGTGCGTCGCTCACAAATCTCTCACAGAGTAGCTCGCACCCCACAGCTTACAGCTTGCACAGCATAGCTTCCACAACACAGCTCGCACCACGTAGTAGCTCCCGCCCCCATCGCTTCCACGACACGGCTCACACCACACGGCTTGCACAACGCAGCTCGCACCGCATAGTCCACACCGCACGGCTCGCGCAGCACCGCCAAACGCCGCACAGTCCTGCTCCGCATGCCTCGCACCCCTCCGTTCACCCATGCACCGTTCGGGGCCCACGCTGGCCAACCCGTCCTCCTCTCTGTGTGAAGCCACGCCGTTGGGGACCCGGGCGCACCTCCGGCGCCGCGGGGCGCTCCGCGAGGCGCCCGGTGGAGGCGTCGCCTTGCCCCTCGGGGGGCGGCCGGCGCGGCTGTTGCGCCTGGCGGGGCGGGCCCGCGCGCATGGCGCTGGTGCCACCCAGGCGCGCCGCGCCCACCGTGCCGAGGAGATCAGGGGCAACCTTCGGGCGGGATAGGCTCAGGGGGGTCGACGTGTCGAGTCGAGGCTCGAGGTCCTTCGACATTCTCTCCGGTTCTCGGCGGCCTCAGGAGGTCATCCAGCGGCTGCGCCTCGCAGAGGGCGCCCCAGGGCGTGCCCGGATCGTTTCGAGCGGCCGCCGGAGGCCCTGGTCATGGCCTGGACACCGCTGGAGATGGGGACAGCTCAGGGAAGAATGCATCGACCCCCACTCGCCCATGGTTCGCCGATGGGGGCCCGACAGACCATTCCTGCCCAGAAGCGCGGCCTTGCTTTCGGGGGCCTATCGCCGATCTATCGGCGATGTGTCACCGATTCCAAGTCGATGTTGTTTCCCCTGAGCGAGTCCCCTCCTAACCTTTGCCCTCAGAAGAGATCGGCACATATGATGATTATGATGCTGATGATGATGCTGATGATGATGCTGATGCCGATGATGCTGATGATGATGCTGTTGATGATGCTGATGATGTTGATGATGCTGTTGGTGATGATGGCAATGATGGTGATGATGGTGATGATGATGATGTTGATGATGATGCTGATGATGATAATGACCATGATCATGATCATGCGCACAATCAGAAAGGTGGTATTGGTGATGTTGCTGCTGATGATGCCATTCATGATGATGATGCTGCTGATGATAATGATGATGATGTTCATGATGATGTTAATGATGATGCTGCTGGTGATGACGATGATGATGATGATAATGATGGCGGTGGTAGTGGTTGTGATGCTTGTGGTGGTGATGATGACGGTGGTGATGATTATTGTGTTGATGCTGATGCGTATGATGATAATGATGATGAGGAGGAGGAGGAGCAGCAGGAGGAGGAGGCGGTGATGAGGATGAGGATGAGTATGAGAGGATATTGTTACTGCTGGTGGTGATGATGATCATTACGATGGCGACACTGACGATGACGATGCTGATGATGCTAATGATGATGCTCATCATGATGATGATGAAGGTGATGGTGATGGTGTTGATGATGATGCTGATGATGATGACGATGATGGTGATGATCATGATCCTGATCATGTTTATGATGATGTTGGTGACGATGCTGCTGTTGATGATGATGGTGGTGATGATGATGCTGATGCTGCTGGTGATGACGATGATGATGATGATGATCATCATCATCATCATGAGGAGGAGGATGGCGGAGGAGAAGGAGGGCTGAGGAGGAGTTGGAGGACGAAGATGACCAATGTCAACCGCGGGGGCGCGAAGAGTAGGAGAAGGAGGAGCAGGAGGAAGGCGGAGGAGGAGGTTGGGGACGAAGATGAC